GCCGAGGAGGAGCAGGTGGCTCTGGAGCGGGAGCAGCAACTGCAGCGGGAGCAGGAGCATATGGAGGCCACCTACAGCAGTTCCAGTTCCAGTTCCAGTTGCAGTGAAACGGATTTCGCATTTTCCAGCAGTTGGAGCACTTTGAAGGAGGCAACAAGAACGGAAACAGAGCCGGAACCGGAGCCCGAGCCAGAGCCCGAGGAGGAGGAGTCATCACCACCGTCACCGCCCACACTTCAGGACAATCAAGTGAGCTCCACCCTCCCCTCGACACCAACATCCGCTCCAGAGCCAGGCCTAACAACAGCAATGGCGCAGGTGCGTGAAACAGTGGCCGAGATCCGCAAGGAGGATGCCCATGCCGTCCATTATATCATCGAACAGATCCAGAAACTGCAGGAGGTCGACTGCATACCACAAGCATCCCTCGATCGGGCTAATGCTCTGGCCAATGATTTGGCTTCTGCCTCATCAGCATCAGTGGCAGCCACGCCTGTTCGACGTCGATATCGGAATGTGCCCAATGAGAATCACCAGCACATGCAGACACGGCTCCGACAGGTGTTTAAGCACTGTAAGAACAGGTCCTTGAGTGCCGCGTCCATCAGAGATGCTGCTGTTGGCGCAGGAGCAGGAGCGATTGCAATCGGAGGAGCAGCTGCAGCCGCAGGTGCAGGAGTAGGAGCGGGCAATAACTCGTCTTCTTCAGTCGTAATTGCTGCCCGCAAGAGCATCATTGCTGCGACCAGCAGCAGCATCAAGAGCGGGAGCGGAAATGGGAACAGCAATGGGACCGTCCGCAGCAACACCAGCAGCAGTTCCATTATGATGACTCGCCGCAGCCAGACCCTAGCCATCAGCGGGGGTGCAGGAACTGTGAACAAGCGCCAGCTGCGTAGCACCATCTGCAGTGTCGGCGGCATGGACATGACCAAACGGACGCTCAGGACAAGGAACGTCCCAACAGTGGGAGGGGAAGCCACAGCCGTGAATGGAGCGACAGCTTCTCCATTGCCTGCGAATGTCAATAGTGGAGGTGGAGGAGGAGCCACCAGCACACAAAGCGTCGTCGCCAGTGCCAGTGGCAGCAGCAATTCCGGAGGCAGTACTGCCAGTCGGCGCCTCAAGCGCACCCAACAAGAGCGCGAACAGCGACGCAGCCTGCGCCGGAGTACACTGAATGCCGCCATGACCGGTGGAGGGTCAAGCGGGAGCGCCAATACACCATCACCGTTTAGCAAGCCGACGCGTCTGCAATCGTCATGCAATGGAGCGGGTGCCATCTCTGCCCGGCCACCGCCTTCGCCTAAAAAGCTCAACATAGTCGTACCCACATTGGCCATTGGCACCCGGGCTTACACGGCGGCCATGGCCGCCTCCGCTGTGCAGCTGAACAAACGATGGTCCCTGCGCAGCAGTCGCCAGCAGGTGGCAAAAGGAGCGCCACCCGGCACGGGGAGCCCCAGCAGCAACAGCAATGGCAGCGGCGGCGGCAGTGGCATCACCAGTCACAGGATGATGATGACAGCCATCAGCTGTTACAGTGTTCGCAATCGAGGCGGAAATCAAGAGCAATCAGGAGCCGCCACATCGCAGCAGCAACAGCCGACGACACGCAGGCGCTGATCGGATGTGATTCTATCGGATATGGGCACACAGCGGGAGCAATTCCAAGTACAAATCAGCAGCAGGAGGTGCATCAATCCTCTGACCATTTTGGACAAACACAATTTATATATATATATACATATACATATTTTTCTTCATTGTTAAATTATGAGAAATGCCAAATAGCTGCCTAAATTTATCATACACGCCGAGGCATCCCACCTCAGCCCATCCCCCACACACACATATATCAGTGTCGTTTTTGTTGTAAATAGAGAAATATTAGTTCTGAAACCACCACACACACACACAAACACACACCCATTCAGAGATTTGATATATATGCACAGACGAAAGCGTATATATATATATATATTATGCAGAGTGCAAAATAGGTATAAAATAAATTCATCGTGTAGACCGATATATTAAAGATATATATATATTTTTTGTAATAACGCAAACACATCACATATTAATTATGTCCACATCCGTTTCCGATCTTTTTTTCGCGTAATAATACTTTCAATCGGAATTGTATTTATTTAATAATTTAAACTTAAGCCAATACCAATTTTAGTAATTAAGTTCTCGTCATTGAGCGTAAAATTAACAGTGAAAAGATGCTAATAATTGTAATATATATATATATACATACGTATATATATTTTATTTTTTTTTGATTTGTGTGATGCTATCTCTTGAAGGTGGTCCTCGTTTTAATTAGTATATATTTATTTCATGTCGTCGTGGTCGCTCATCTAGGACTATCTTATGAAATACATTGATATTTTTACATAATTAAATTGAAAAGATTTTCTTTCGGCTTTTGCAGCACCAACATGTCCAAAAAGTGCATACAAATAAGAGGACTGCATGAATCCATAGTATTCATAACACATCACAGCTAATTTTGCAGGCCTGCAATCCAAGAGTGTAATCTTCAATCAATTCAAAATGAATCAATTGGACGGAATAGATATTTGAAAATATCGAATCTGGCGCCGATAACAATAAGCATATCGAACTTGCAGCATATGGTCACACCTAAAACTTCCTCTGTCCGCACTGCTGGCAAACCAGCTATTTCATAGCTAGTTCTGGCTATTTATTATTTGAGCTCTCTCGCGCCTGTTATTGTAGCGCTCCATTTTGAAATAAAGCCGTACTAGGCAGATCAGCTAAATTTTCCATCGACCGAATCAGGGATGATATTCGCATGGAAACGATAAAAATGCATGCCGTATTTCGTACACGATCAGCAAAATAAATAGAGAAGCGAAAATTGTATATTCTATCTATTTAATAAGGATTTATAATCTGGGATACCAGGTCGTTCGCTGGTTTAAAAAATATTGTTTTTAGTTTCCCCCCATAAGTATGCAACACACGTTTGCAATCGCTAAAGCTGCTTGCTGCTGACTTCTGTTCGCCTGGTATCCCTCATCGGAAATTTCTCGTTTTCTGCCATTTAAGCATTCACAAGCTGAGGGTTGTTGTTGTCCAAAATGTTGTTGTTGTTGTCAAACATTCAAAATGGTGAAAAACGAAAAATTTCAGATCTCGGATATCAGGCGAACAGAAATATTAAAAATTGGAATTAAAAAATAAACTGCCCAAAAATAGCGCTGCATATCTAAGTCACTAACCATCCCGCGAACCGGCTATATAATTGAATTTGCTTTTGTGTATAAATGTAGTTTATTTGTTGTTGTTTCATTTTGTTTGCTGTATTCTGCCATGTGTTAAATATTAATAAATAAATTGCATTAAGTAGTATACGATTAGTGTTTGGTTTTAGAAGTTAGTTAGAGGCGCAGTAGCAGAGAGTTGTAGACTTTCTTGGTGATGCTGTGTCCAAGTAGGTTTGGAAATTTATTCATCAATTGTTCTGTCTTGTGGCTTTTGTGTGTGTTTGGTATTGCAAAAATATTGCGCCTGCGCTTCCGAATGGCGATCAGAAGTATATATATATGTATATATAAATATTATTAACTTGCGTTTTTTTTTTCTTTTCTTTTTTTTTTGTTACCTGCACTTGAAATATTTAGAATATTCTTTAGTCATTTCCATTTAGATTAATAACATACGTACATATGTCTATATGTGGATTTCAATATTAGCTTTTTTGTTTGATTTGCTGTTTGTTTTGTTCATCTTTGTCTTCATCTTCAATCTTCATTGTTTTAAATATGCAAAAATAAGCTCTCTCTCTCTCTCTCGATCTCCTTCTCTCGCTAACTTTGTCTCGCTGCTGCCACTCGCACTCGATATTCTCGTGATCCTGGGATCCCATTCTTATACATGTATCCTCTCGCTTAACAGAAACTAGACAATGCTGAAATTATTGTTCTTCGTATTACTTTTGCTGTTTTGCTTATTGTTATCGATTCATCTCTATATCAAATACAGATACAGATACCCCTATGCAAAGCGTACGTACAGTACATATGTATGTGTACATAACATATGTGTGTGTATGGCAATAACTCGATCGAGAAGTGTGTAGATTTCTTGTACATATACAGATCAGATAGTTGATACAGAATCTTAAACATTCGCTTAACTTTGACGCTCTTAAATGCATTTTTTGTTTTCTGATTTGTTTATTTTGTTGTTGTGGTATTGCGGGCCTTGTGTGGTTGTTGCAGGCATGGCTTTGGTTACTAATGCTATGCTATAAATATAATTATGATATCTCGGTATTGCAATAATAATCCATAACGGCTCTCTCTTTATACAATAAAAATTCAACGAAAACTCAGCTTATCGCGTACATATCCCTTATAGCGTATCTCTTTTTGGCATAAAGTGTTTTTTGTTTTGTTTCCTTTCATCGAAATTATAAATGTAGTTAAAAAATAATATTAAATACGGTAAGCTTAGGGTTAATTTACACGGAAATCATATCATAGCTAATAAATAAATTGCTTGCAAGTAAATTCAATCGAATGCTTAAGCTATTGTTATACATGAGGAGGGGTGTTTGGTTGGGTGGGGACAAGGGGGGACATTCGTAGGACACAGGAGACAGGTTGAGTTTGAGTACTTTACAATTTGAGTACTTTGCTGTACACAGACACAGACACACACGCGCACACACACACCCCCATCCATCCACGCACGCACACACTATCTCAAAATTCAGTCTTTTTCATATACAAAGAAGGACAAGCGAACGGAAGGGAAGCCAAGCAACCAAAAAGCATTGAACACTGAGTGAGACTGATTAAAGTGTTGTAGTCAAAGCGCGAGTTGTTTCCATAGCGATGCGATCCATTTCATTTCATCGATTTACATCGAAAGTTAATCGATTTACATTCGCTTCGTTTCACAGACGAACCATTTTAAAGCTGTTTCTGCTTTGCTTTGTTCCACAAACAGCTGCACTTTGTCGGGATTTGGCGTTTAATTGCTTTCGTTGATTGGCAGGCTACAAATCGATTAACCGTTTATCGATAACAATGCATGGTTTTGTTTTAAAGCTGCTCGACTTAAAGTTGATCAATTTTGAGGCTCATCCAGTTAGAGCCCGGATCGATTCTAGGTGCAGTTATTGTCGCGTGACAACTGTTCGATTCCGCATCGATTCCACACAGACGGCTCGATATAAAGCTGATGATTGATAGGTGTTCCAATTGAAGAGAAATCGAGTGCATTTAGAGACCTGTCGATTTACAGTGGTGCAGTGCTTCCAACGGAGTGCGGGGGGTCGTGTGTGAGCAGATACATATTTTTTATATATAGATAGGCGTCTCCTGGCCAGTGAGCAAACGAAACATGGACGTGGGCATCGTCTTCATCAGGATCTGAGGAAATTCAAAACGTGAAAGGAGAAAAGAGAATGGAAATGCAGCGTGCACTTACCTCGCCTACAGAGGATGACAAGAGCTTGACAATGGTATCGTGGGGTACGGCCACCACACTCTGATTGTTGATCTCGATGATGCGGTGACCCACCCGGACACCGCCGCGCTCGGCGATTCCTCCGCGCAGCAGACTGCAGATCTATGGTAGGGCATGGAAAGAGGCACTTAGTAAAGAAAGCAATCGCTGAGAGGCGGGGGGGAGGGGGGAATCAATCTCTTACCACGCCATTCTGGACACTGAAACCCAACTGGAACAGGGCCTTGGGGCGCAGTATCTTCACCTCGACGACGGGGGGACAGGGCACAACGGTGAACTTGACGGCAGTTTGATTCTTGGCATTGCGTATGTAGCTCTGGCAGGTGGAGAGCGGCAGACCGACCAGGCTCATGCCATTGATGGCTATCAGCTGGTCGCCAATGTTCAGCTGGCCGCAACGGGCGGCAGCCCCGGTGGACATTAGGTTGGCAATCACGACCGTCGGCAGCATCGAGCCCCAGCCGGATTCGACGATGACAACACCAAGGATTTCGCCCTTGGCTTTGGGGACGACAACCTCCTTCTGGAGCTCCTTCTTGGCGAATATCTCCAGCTCGTCGCCAAAGATCTCCTGACTGTTGAGCACCTCCTGGTAGTCCATCTCCTTGGCCAGGTTCTCGTTCTCGATGCCATTGGCCTTGAGGAACTCCATGTAGGCCACCTGGAAGGCCTGGCCAATCGACTGCGCAATGAACTGCGCCTCATCGCTCTCGAACACATGGCAGATCATCTTCGGAGTCCGATTGTGCTTATTGTGCAGCACCTGGGCGGGCTCCTTTGGTGGCGAGGAGTCTGCTGCCTCGATGGCCGCCGCCGCCAGCGTAGGATTGGAGGCATCAATTCCCAGCGGATTTGGACCGGGGCTGGGATTCGGATCACCCAAACTGTTGGGCACGAACCGGCGACGGGCCATCAGCACCACCAGATCCCCGATGTCGGCTATGTAGGAAATGGTGCGCAGGGCATGGTCCATCATGATCTCCTTGAGGTCTGTGTTTAGCACCATTATCTTTTCGGTTGATATGAACAGATCCACCTCCGTGCTAGGCTGGCTCTCGCCCTCGGGTGCCTACATGGACGATGGAAATGAATACAAACAGAAAACAGAGATCAGTATCTGCTGATTTCGGACAGCCATGGAGAGGGGATTAACAATCGAACAATCTCTTACCAAAGCCTATCAAAAGGAATGCGCAGCAGGGAACGAGAAAAGCGAACGAGAAAGTTTAGACACGACACACATTTAGCACACAGCAATAGCCTAGCAATGAGGTAGGATGGGGCCACTACGTGTCGGTGCGGGGGTCACGGTTACACTCACCTTGATCCGGGACACAGCCTCTTCGGCCTGCATCATTCGCGTCGACTTGGTCGGCTGGCCCTCGCATACGAGCTGCGTCGATCCCAGATACTTGGCGCGGAAGAGTACGCCCTCAATGAGAACTTTGGGTTCCAATAGACCTAAAACATAGGATTAGATTTAGATATATGGGGCATACAGTATGTACAGGCGGCATGCGAATGTGACTGCCCTGTTGATGCACTCTTTGACACGTTCAGGCAGTGGCAGGCTGGTCCAGTCTGTGCTCTTCGCTGGAGACAGTCCCAAAAACTACTAATCTATCAATTCAATGGCTAATTGTAGACTGAAATCGATGGACCTTTGATACTCGTAGGTTTCCAAACTAACAAAACCCTTCTACAGAATCCAAAATCCATCATTTAATCCCATCAATGTGTGTCCCTATTCTTGCAAGAACATTGCTGCAAACAGTGAAAGCCAAAGAAACTTGAAGCAATTCCTTAGCGATATATCCTATATACTATCGTATAGACTATAATCTAGAACTACGTATAACTGATATATTTCATGGAGCCTCACGCTTGAGCCTGCTGCTGCCTGATCGCTTCGTAAGCCACAGTACAAACAGATAGACAGATAGACAATGAGACACATGGCACAGAGAGAGTGAGAGGTAGACAGTGTGGTAGCAAGAGAGAGTTATAGAGAGAGAGAGAGAGAGAGAGAGACAGCTTGAGCGGGAGACAGAGACACTTACATGACGCCGCACATCACAAATATGTAAATGGGTGGAAAAGTGTGCGGATTGCAGCGTGAAATGTTAAAATGTAGGATATTCGAGATAGAGAGAGAGAGAGAGAGAGAGAGATAATCAGTACAAATGGAACCACAACAGCAGCAGTAAACGGGGGGCGTCGTTCCGAGTGTTCCGAGTGCCGTTCCCTCCCCACTCACCCTCCTTGTTCCGCGACTTGGCTTTCTTGTCGCTATTGGCCGAGTCCTTTAACGACTTGATGGATCCCGTCGGACTCTTGGTGAACTGCAGCTTCTCCGGGGACCCGCTGATCGTGATGTCCGCCGTGCCCACAATCTGGCAAATGTCCGGCGAATTGGGCGTCAGGGAGGTGCCGATACCCTGCCGAATTGTGGCCGTCGAATAGGTCTGCGGCTTGGGATTGTTGTTGTCAATGCAACCGCCGTTGAGATGTCCATTGCTGCTGGCTATTTCCGTTCCCTCGTTGGCATTGCTATCTGGGGCCCGAGGCTGCGCAAAGATCTAAATTAGTGACGATATAGGAATGGGCATCACCCGACCCGACCCTCACCTGATCGGAGAAAAAGTCCTGCTCCTCGTGCCGCTGCTGGCCCAACAAGCGATCCGTTTCCAGATCGGTATCAGGCTCCTCCTCCGGCACAGCTGTGGCCGGCGTTGCTGTGGCCGCCGCACCGCATTTGCGTGGCACCCACACGGGGGACTCCGGTTCGGTTGGCAGGACTTCGTCACAGAACTTGAGCTTGTCCGGCTGCGTCTTGGCGCGCTGCAAGGCCGTGCGTATCTCCTTCATGGCCTCCTGGATCTCCACTGCCGCTGTGGCCGGCTGCTGGACGGCATTCCCTGCGGATGCCGCTGCTGCGTAGACTGCTCCATAGTGGGATTGCTCCATGGGGCAGCAATCGCCGCAATCCGCTGCAGCCGCTGTGGCCTGTTCGGCTTGCATGGGCTCGTGCTCGAGGGTGTCCGTGTCTGGCAGTTCAATCTGCGGCGGTGTGCAGGGAAGTGGCAGTGGCAGTGGCGGTGGCATCGGCATCGGCAGCGAGGCAAAGTCACTTATCAGCGCCGATTGTGAGGCATCGGTAGTGACAGTCGCCAGGCTGGCACTGTTGTTGTATTCGTTCTCCAATCGCTCACCATTTACAGCAGTGCCATTGCCATTTGCGTTGCCATTGTGCTCGTGGACGGTCGGTTGCTGCTGCTGCTGTGGCTGTGGCTGTTGTGCCTGCTTGTCACAGACAACAGATACATTGTTCTCCGTATCGGAGGCATGGCCACTGCTGAGGCCGTCCTCCAGCACGGGCATGCTCGTGTACAGCTTGCCGTAGTCTGTGGGGCAGTTGATGTCATTGGACAGGCTATCTAGATCGCCGCAGTTCGAATCGTAGTCCGTCGTCTCCGGCGAGAGGGTAAAGTTGCGCGAATGTCTGCGCAGATTCGCCTCCAGTTCGGTGTCCGCCAGATCGCCGCTGCTGCGGCTATTCGAATCGATATACAGCTCGATATCGTTGTGCTGCTCCTGATACACAGTCGGTACACTGACGTTGTTGTGTTCACTGGGGGGCTGCTGTGGAAGCAAAGGAATGTTTTGGATCGCCTTCAGAGACAGGGTACGATTGGAGTCAGAGCTGCCGTCTCCGCGTCCTCACCTGCTTCTTGCTGGGCGAACGATGAACCATGTAAAGCTCCTCTTTGGGTATCCTAGCCAGGCGCTGGCCAATGTATGCCTGCTCCATCGGTGTCGTTGCCGGATGTTCCTGCTGCTGCTGCTGCTGCTGGAGGAATACTTCCATTCATTAAGAGAAATCCTTCTCCTCCTTGAACGGTCATCTACTCACCGAATTGGGCACATCATCGCCGCTCTCTGTGGTGTAGTCCGCGAAACGTTTCTCATCGTCGGGATTGGCCTTGAAGAACTCCTCCAGAACCTTGCGCGTTTCCGAGAACTCATACAAGTAATCGAATGCTGGTGTTTTCTCTCTTGCTGCCGCCGTCCTGCCGTCCTCCTCGTGATCGATCAGATCTATCAGATTGCCCGACGATGCCTTGCCGGCCACATTGTGGTTGCTGCTGCCGCTGCCGCTGCCACCGCCGCCACCGACGCCGCTCGCTGTGGGCGAGACGCGCTGTGGAAAACCCGGGGGACGCTTGCGTGAGCCGGCCGCCGGTTGGTTGCCAAATCGACGCGGCGATCCCTCGTACTCGGCTATGGGCAGCTGGCCAATCATTTTGGTCACCTTCAGGATATCCTCCTGGCTGTCTGAGCGCATCACCGGGGCGGCCTTGTTCATCCAGTTGGTGTCAATGTCGTCAAAGACGACTATCTCCCCATCCCTCAGGCACTGGCCATCGGCCTTGCCCACGTCCGTTGGCGACCCGGGACTGGCACGACCCTGCACAGATAGAATAGAACAGAACGTAGAACGGATCGTTAGATGGCTCGCGAATGATGTCTGCCAGAACTTGGAGACAGGTTGAATGTTTGGTCTCCAGTTGTGGAATCGAAAATCTACAATATTCGGTGGTTCTTAGCAGGACGGTTTGAAGAGGAAACAGATAAAACCTCATCCTCGATATTCTTCTCAAGGTCAGAGGAGACCCCAGATAAACTCCCATTGGAATATATGGATACAGATTTCTTACCTGCGGCAGGGATTCGTGGGCATCGAACTGGCTGCCCGGACTACGTCCGACACGGATCTGATGGAGATGCGGCCGCTGGTAGTAGTAGGAGGAGGCCATCTGTCCGCCGGTTTCCCCATAGCCCATAGACATCTGTCCCGGCGACTGGCCCTGCAGCGGTGCGTACGGCAGCTCGGCATTCAGGTCCGGGGAGTTGAGTACTGTGCTGGCGGGCGTCACATTAGGACTGCGCGTTCGCATTTCCCACACGTAGCGCTCCTGCTGTAGCGACTGCAGCTGCGGCTGCCCAAAGTTCATTTGCAACGGATTGGCCATCGAATCGTTGCTGCTGTCGCTGCAGGAATTTGAATTCATGCCTGCCTGGGGTATACGCTGGCACCGTGCAATGGATGGCTGCTGGATCCTGCTGGAATGCAGCTGTATGGATGGTCTTGGACTGGAACTGGACGCTGTGACTGCTCCTCTCCGTCTTGGATTATTGCTCTAGTGCTGCGTCCGCTGCTGCTGCTGCTTCTGCTGCTGCTGCTGACATGCCTCGTTCTGAGTAGATACTGCCTGAGGGGTAGACGAAAATGTAGAGGTGAAGGTGGTGATTAGTTGGCACGATGATCTAACGGATGAATCACTGCAGCTGCAACTGCAGCAGCCCCAGGCCAAGCCCCAACACCAGTTAGGGACAGGTTGTTGCTGCTGCTGCTGCTGCTACCCAGAGAAATCAATGCTGGCTGGCTGGCTGGCTGGATGCTGAGGCTGCCAATTAACCCAATAACAAGGCCCGCGAATCGTGTCATCAGGGGACACAGTAGCTGTAGCTGTAGCCTTCACGTGTATCCTTTATGTGTCCCCTCCCTGCCACTATATGTCACTGTGTGTGTGTGTGCTTGCGCACGTAAACTTGGCCTCCAAAAATTCCGCGCAGGCAAAACAAACTCGACCGTACAACGCAGGAGGCTGGCTCCCAGACACAACAACCAAGGCAACCCACCCACCCGAAAGGGTAGAGGGGGGAGGGGAATAGGGATGTTGCAGGCTGTGTGTCTCGCCTTTGTTTTCGATTGTTGCAGCCTGCAATTGTGGCACGGCACGGACGTTACTTCACCAAAAACACACACACACTAATATAGACATCTGGGTGTGTGTGGTGTGTGGCGTAGGGTGTGTGTGTGTACATCAGCGAATTGATGCCTTTGCGCGCCTGTGTAGATGTCGATGTCGATGCGTGGTGTGTGTGTGTGTGTCTGGGTATTGCCATGGCATTGTTAAAAATCAATAGATTTGCTGGTTATTTTCTGTTTTTTTTTTGTTTTAGCTGGTTCTTCCAGGTTCTATGATGAGCACCAGAGCAATTGGCAACGCCAGCTCCGCCGCCGCCGCCCACACGCCACCCACCCGGACAACAATAACAACAACAAATGTAGGGAACAGGAACGACGCGGATACAGACGGTAAAGATCACATGCACAATAGCTGCCCCCGACCGACAGCAGCTCCAGCATCTGGGCATCATCAGGCACTACAACACCTGTCGCTAATTTACCATTTAATTCATATTGCACTCAATGTTTCACCGATATTCAAAAAAAAAAGCAAGCGAATTGCTAGCAGTGTGACCGCGGACTTATCTATAAAATATACCGTCCGACCGTCAGAAATATACCGAAACATACCGTCTCATTTTAAAAATATATCGTAAATATCCTGACTAATTCAAGTTCTATTTTACATATTCCTCGTTTTTGACCTTCCGTGGAATATTACTAACTATATAGAACATTTAGCCATGCCCACATAAATTTATACGATTTATGAATAATTTTTCTACTTAACTGGCTTATTCTACATACTTGCTTTTATTGGATCTTGTCTAAAAAAAGGTTTTAGCGAAATAGGTCAAAACAAAAAAGCGAAAGAGGATAGTCGTTCCTTTTGTTCAATTTAGAGATTCCGTTGAATAATTCTAGCTAACTAAAACCCTGAGTTCTACCCACATAATTTTATCCCATTGATGAATAAATTTTCTACAAAATTAGGTTAGATTTTGACTAAAACACGGCTTACAAGTTAATGTTGTTCGCAACATTGTGGCGAGGAAAAATTCCATCGTAGGAAATCCCAAAAAAGTCCCACGAAACTTAAGCGCCAAATGGAAATTGTTTGAAAGTGAATGAGTGAAAAGGATTTAAATGCAATATATTGAAATAAATTATACACGTTAGTAAGATTTGAGAGTGAAAATTCAAAAAACCTGCGTATGGAAGTTTCTATACCCTTTCTTGTTAAAAATTCCTTTGAAAAAATAGATTGATGAAATTGACAAAATACACCATTATATACCTATATACCGTAAATATACCGTCGGAGCCTTGATTATGGATTTTATAACACGATTTTTGCAGCACTGGCAATGGCGCCAAATTCAAAACTGCAGTTAAAAGTTTTAGCATTTGTAGTTTAATCGATTATATGTACCCGTCTGGTTTCAACATTTGGAGTTTCGGAAATACAAACACATTTTTTGGAGGTGTATACAAATTCGATGAGCAAAAATTGACAAGAACTTGGTGTTGTGTGGCAGTAAACAGTTTTCTGTAAAGTTCTTTAACTCTGGTTTTTGTTGGGGTTTTTGGTTTCTATAGATATAGATAATGAAACAATTCTCTTGTTTAAGTTTAATTGCTATATGCTTGATTCAGTTTTAATACAATAATTACATATTAAGTTGCACTATACGCTAAACTGGAAGGAATGATTGCGTTCTAATTGTTGGACATACATGAATGTTGACAAAAAAACTTAATAAATATACATACATATGTTCGAAACATAAGGGTGGAGTGCCGGGGGGAATGGGTAGAGAAACAATAGTCAACAATATAAATAAGAATTAATAATTAACTAATGGATAAGAGTGTGGGAGTTGGAATACAGGAGTTCATGGTTCATAGAGAGGGGTTACTTGGGGGTGATTCGGGATCTGGTAGAGGGTAGATCATTTAAGATCAACAAACATTCTTGCGCTTATCTTAACTCCTAAATACACACACTTTAAACATAATTTTGGTAGTTTTGGCTTAAACTAGTTGCTCGTTTTGGTTGTGCCTAACATTAGTAAATACATACACATCGGCCCCGGCTCCAGCCCCGAGTGGGCGGCCAGCTTAGACGCTACGCTACTTAATGATTATGATGTGGTGACGCATCCAAAGGGATGCCAGAGGGGGAAAAGAGAGAAACCAATAAACGTAGGGAGGAAGGGGATTCCAATACGGGGACGGACGCCCTCAGAAATTAAAGCTTTGTATGTTTGACCGTGTCCGTCCAGTAGTTCTGTATTGTCATCGCCTCCAAAGAGTTGAGAAACGAATCGTTGTCCAGGCTGTACATCTCATCCGAGTTGTCCTGCGGGCGAGAGAGAAGTATGAAATGCGGTGCCACAGATTGGGATGACAATTGGTCCACGAATCCTTACACTCACCCGCATGGTGCTATCATCTATATAGACACTGGAATCGGGCTCGCTCAGGGCCTGCGGCTTGTTCAGGAACCTCCGACGGTATAGCACAATCCCAATGGTGCCCACAGTGCAGCAGATGCCAAAGACCGTGAAACAAATGGCCGAAATGGCGCCCGCGTCCAGGAAATACGTACGCTGTAAAAATTCCATCGCGTTAGAGTTTGATTCCCACACCAGCGCCGGCAAAAGGGCGCTCCTGGTCTCACCTGAATGGCCAGTGCCTCGGATGAAATGTTGCCATCATCGTTGGCCCCATCATAGCCATCGGCCACACTGGGCGCCGCCGAGGCCGACCGCGTCAGCAGGCTCTTTGTATCGCTGGAGAAATTGATGTACCGATTGATGTGCTTGTATTCGGCCGACAATACTTTCGACTTGCGCGACCGATGCTCGCTCTCGGCCCGACGCAGCTCCTCCTCCTTGTTGGCATTCTCCAGCGTGAAGGGGGCCTTCTCGCCCTCACGTTCCAGCAGCTCATCCGACAGCCATTCCGTGTTGATCTTCGGTGTTGAGGGTGTGGCCGATGATGTCACTGGTGTGGCTGCAGTGGCTGCTCCACCATTTGTGGTAGCTGCTTCTGTTGTTGCTGCTGCTGCTGTCGTTGTTGTTGTTGTTGTTGTTGTGGCAGCTGTTGAGGAGGAGGATGATGAGGATGGGCTTGATGATGAGGCTGTGGTGGCAGCTGTCGTTGTGGCTGGACTACTGCTGTTGCTGTTCAAAGCAGGCTTCAAAGCGCTGCTGCTGTTGCTGGTGCTGCCGTTTGTACTGCCAAAGGAAAGGGGATAGAGATTAGGAGCTAGAACAAAGAAATGTGATTCGGTGGCTTACCTTGTGCTACTGCTAAAATTCGTAAAATTGTTTAGCTGCTCGGAGGTAAAGTCCGCCGAGCGCTTGAACTCGTACTGAGCATCCACAGGCTCCTCCACTTCATCGGCATCAGCATCGGCATCGGCATCTGGCTGGTGGAGTTCCGCTCCATCGTTTAGCAGCAGATCTTCATGATCGTCCTCCTCATATTGATCCTCATCCTCCCTGTTGTAGACAGGCGTCACGCCACTGCCACTGCCACTGCCACTGCCACTGGCACCCCCTGTTGGCCTGTTGGTCAGATCCATGATGTTGCTCTGTGTGGCCGTCGACCAGGTCTGGCTGACCGTCGTCTGGTACAGCTTTGTGGTCTGCCGCACCACAGGCTGGGCCGCCTGCTGTGCCTCCTCCTCCTGGCCCCTGGGATATGTGTGGACATGGCTGGACAGCAATTGAACTGCAGGACACACAAAGGATATAAAATCTGGCAGGCTAGGGCCTGGGTTCACCGGGGCTTACCGCTGAGGCAGGTTATCCAGAACCAGTGTGACCACCAATAGAAAGTCATGATGCGCTCCGTTCTGTGATCTTGCGACGACTGCCCAGGAAATGGAAAGAGAGACAGACCGTGAGAGGATGAGTCAGGGGTAACAATGTGTGGCCCAAAAGTACTCCACGAAATCCCATAAAATACTACTACTATATGCCTGCCCGATATCCGATGAAGTCATCGAAATTGCTTTTCTTTGTTTTTATTCGGTTTACATTCGGAGAAAAACGGGTTTGATCGCGGCCAAGGAATTGCCATTTTTGGGCGCAGGGATCCCATCCCAACCGAAGGTCGTCGACTTGGATCTGGCTCATAAAAGTGTTTCCTTCCAGTCACATCTTCTTTTGATTATCATTTCCATGCCATTTTTGGGGCGTCTTGCGGCCCACGCTTTTCGGGCCATGCTAAAAAGATGTAATTGTCTTAAACGGCTTTGGCTTTGGCTTCGGCTTTGCCTCAACCCACCCCCCACTCCCGGCACTCTCCGTTTGTCATCCTCTTTGGGGCTTAATTGTTTTCGCCGCTTTTGTTCTGGCCAACAGCCCGCCAACAAAAGCAGTACGCAAAAGCAAATAAGAAACGAACGACAGACAGCCAGAGTGGATCCGACTAAGCCCCTATCCAGCATGGCCTGTGTGCTTCAGTGTTGTGTAATGCCCCCCGTACAAAGAACAGTGGTGTTAAGTCCCAAAGATTACTGAATATTTAGGCCTTCATTTCTTCGTTTTCATAGAATATTTATTTACAGCAGGATCTGATTCCACTTTAACAGCAAAACCAATCGAAATGTTGCTTGAAAAACCTGCACATGGAATGAAAACCATCTATCCTCCCATTCGAAGGGAGGACACAATATACCCCCGTTTGAGTGGCAAGATTTCGAGGGTAGCAAAAATTAGCATTCCCATTTTGGGGCGGGCGGCTGTGAAAATACAATTTACTTGTAGTTTTCGGTTTTGTCGGTTGCCACCACCAGACTTTTGGCGATTCCGAAAAAGCCATGGAACGACAGACACAAAAACAAAAAACAAAAAAGCCCGTCCTAATTTGTTTGTGCTAAAAACAACAACAAAAACAGCAACCAAAAAAGAGAATGAGAACTTTGTTAAACGTTGTATCTTTCTGGGCATTTATTTGGGTTAATGTTCCGCCAATGGATTGAAGTCGATCCCGAAAATTGATAAGATGGACCCACCCCGACCCATAACAGGTGCTCCCCCCCCTCCCCGCCCACAACCCGTTTTGAGCCCTGAAAATATTACGTATACGCCTTTAAGCATTCGGCAGACCCACAGTTGGATGGATGGGCACAGATGGGTACTACATAATCGTAGTACGCGTACGAGTACGCATAGCATGAGGCGTTAAAGGTCAACACAGCGGCATTAATTTGCCCGCTTGCCTGATTTTGCTTTTATGCTTTAATGTGTGTTTTTATGGTAATTCGAGTGGGCCATAAAGCAAAAGCCAACAATTGTTTAAAGGTAAAGAGAAGCCCGACGCCAGCCAGAGCCACTGTCTGGGCTCCAGCCTCTGGCAAAAGGTCTGCGAACCATAACGAATGACATCCATAGATCCAGAGATGTGATGTTCTCTCCGTGTCGTATCTGTAGGCGAATCTGGGCGGGGGTTTGGGGGCTTCCAAATGCCATCTCTGGGGCTGGGGGCGGGGGGCAGCCAGCAGCGTAGACTCTAGGTCGCTAGTATGCAAAGCATTTCATAATAACCCCCCCCAGCAAAATGTTAAAGAAATAAAAACGAAACAACAGAAGCACAAACCAAATGCACTTTCATATGCCCCATGAAACTGGAGCAAGTGCTGCCACCAGCCACACACTGCAATTAACACACAAGCCACAAAGGCACATACACAGAAACATAAACAAACGCCAGAAACAGCACACAGCTAAAAAAGACCACAGACTACGGGGATACACTGCAAATGTCTTAAGATACTGTTAATCAGTGTTGGTAAACGCCTGCTTAGTGCAACAGCTGTTCAACAACACTCACAGCTGATTAATATTCGATGTACAGTTGAGCTTTCGTACCACGAATTTATTTCCAGAAATCTGCAATGCAAAAATTAATTCTACGAATTCCCCTTGAGATTCGACTGTAATATTGTCGGCCCCGATGTTCGCGATGCCATCATTTTATGGATTGAACAGAAAGTTGTATAAACTTTCAGAGGATTTTGAATGTCTCCTCAAGGCATCCTTTGGGGGCAATAGAATGCCAGAGTGGCAAAAAAAAAGCAGCTCGAATTCTGTTCCCTCTCGGCCCTGGCAGACTGCCTCTCAATGTGCGGCATACCCAGCAATGCCACAAAGTGCACAAAAGGCGAGAGAGTGAAATGAAAACGAGGCAACCTTCAAGTGCAAGCGACAAAAGCAAAATTGAAAAGGCGTCGCCCGGCCCCGGTCCCGGGCCCGGGCCGCAGCAAAGGTGCAATAATTAGATGCAAGCTTGCCACAAGGTGCCATGCCATGCCATGCCATGCCAGCACCATATCATCTACAATGGGAAAGTCCACGCTCACTTTCTACACTTCTATGGAGCCCTTCGAGCCCCTGGAGCCCCTGGGGGTAGGCCTTGAAATGGTTGCCAAAGAGGGATCATAGTAGGCCTAGCTGTTTCAGATACTCGTAGACTCTCAGTATAGCTTGAAAAAATTTCACTTAATGAAACGTAACTAAGGAAAACAGTTCCCAGTTTTGACCGGAATAAAACTAAGCTGCCACACGCAATTTTTCATTGTATTTTCCAAATTTTAATTTAAATTCTTTGCACTTTGCAATCGCGCGTTCGGCTTTCGACTCGTTGCAATAATGGTCGATGGACAGGAGCAGGACGGGGCAGGCCCCGCAGGCCCCAAGCCCGGGCGACGCGTGCAATTCAGTTCCGACACGAAGCCAGGCGACGGCGAGGAGGCGGCCCAGCCATCGGGCTCCCGTTCCCGTTCCGCGTCCCCCGGCCTGGGGGCAGGGGTGCACAGCACCCCCGGACTGGACTTTGGGGAACAGATGCTGCCGTCGACGCTGGCCGTCGGCTCGCAGCTGTGGCACGCCAGTGCCAGGCGCTTGGACCTCCGATACCTGAACCAGGAGCTGCCCAGCCCGAAGGATCAGCTGTTGTTCCTGGGCGACATGCAAAAGTCGTTCAAGTGTGTGGTTTTCGACGTCGACCGACTCGCGGACAACCTCAAGGCCCTGGAGACGGCCGAGGTGGGGGACCTGAGCTCTGTGCAGGAGTGCCACCTGATGTCGAAGGACACGGACCCCGCCACCGGGGCCCAGGGCGACACGGCGCAGACGAGCAGCTGCCGCGTTACCTTCTCCGAGTGGCCGATGCACTCGCTGCCCAAGCTGATGGTCAACCTGCGGCGCCTCCACCTCTACTGCAACGTCCAGGTGCACTTCATCGAGCGCTTCGCAAACCTGGAGCTGCTGGCCCTCTACGGCAGCATCTCGCAGAGCGCCATCACGGGTGTGTTCGAACGCTGCCGCCAGCTGGAGCGACTCTCGATCAAGGCCGAGTGCGACGCCCGCCTCGACCTCAGCGGCGTGGCCAAGTGCCCCTTCGTGAACGGCATATCGGTGCCCGTCAGCATTTTCGCCAATCAGCGGGACCTGCTGATCAGTCGCCCCCACCAGCAGCTGATCGAGCTGACGCAGTGCGGCCGCAACAGCAGCCTGGCCGTGGACTGTCTGCGCTCAATCGTCGCCCTGAAGGGCGACTCCATCGAGGCCATACAGATGGACTGCGGATGGCTCGGCAACGGTGCCCAGAGCCTCGCGACCATGGCCATGGGTCGCTGCACTCGCCTGGACCGCCTCGTCCTGGGCAACTGCGACTTCGGGCACATGGCGATCGGAAGCCTCGATCTGCCGCGGGCCCAGCGCCACATTGCGCTGAACCGGTGCCACAATCTGACCGATAGCCACATCCAGGACATCGTCCAGCGCTGTCCGGCCATCCACGAGCTCAGCCTGATTGAGGGCCCCCTCCTGACGGGCGCCCTGCTGCACAACGTCTATCGCGCACGGGCCGAAATGGCCGTGGGCCATCCCCTGAGCCTCGTTCTGACCAACTGCAAGTCGCTTTTGGCCGCCTACAAGACCGTGGTGAGTGTGCCTAAAGCCACAGATCCCTTTCACTTCTCACTCTCTCTCTTGGTCTCTTGGTCTCTTTGTCGCCTTGTAGTTTGCGGAGTACTGGGAGCCCCGCCGTGACATCCTTAAGATCGAGTTCGTCGAGGACGAAAGCACTCCCCTGGAGGATGTACAGGTGTTCTTTCACGGTCCTTCCCTGGACCAAGGTTCTTCGGAGGCAGCTGATCCCCAGATTCCCCAAATTCCCCAAATGCCCCCCGATGCCTAATTGAATACAAAAGCAACTGCAGACCCGCCATAGAGGCCTCATGTTTATTGTGATTGCGATTTTCAATGATTTCTATTCGGAATTCCACAGTCAAAGGGTCTTCTTTGTTTTCTTTTCACTTGTATCCCCCACAGATAGCTTAATTTGTATGCAAATTGAAAGTGCCAGGGGCTGCCGTGGTGCCACGGCACTCTAAAGTGCTTCAGTCTCTGGTCTGTGGAGGAGGAAGAACCCTCTCGTCTCTCTCTGGCAGAAGGACTAGGTACAGCTGTGCTTTCCCTCTCAGACAGGCTCTCGGGCACTCGAAGATCAAGGGGTTATCTCCCAGATAGACTCTGTGGCACTCTGTAGCAGGAGATCTCAACAGTTTCCGCTTGCAGGATTGTAAGAGCCCCCACCACAGAGGTATCTGCCACAATCCCTCAAGAATAGTTGTCAAAAATATCGATCGTTGCAGAACTTTTGTTGAGTTTTCTTTGACTTTCAGTGCAGTCTGTAATCTATTATAATTTGGCCATAATTCAGATGGCTTTCATCAGATATGTCCGCACTGGTTCTACGCCCAATCAATGGCCTCAGTTATACGATGGCATCTCCTCTGCTCTGTGGAGTGGCCTCTGTTCCGTTTTGGTTTGGTAATACTCGAAAACGAAACGTTTTCTGTCGCTGGCAAACAATTGGCGGGCGCTGACAAGTCACTTTTTTGTGCCCCACCATTCCCTCATTTTTTGTTGCCATTTTTCGTAAGCTGTCTGCCTGCCTGCCTTTTCACTTTCTTCGGCGATACGTTTTGGCCACGGATGAAAAGTGAAACCTCAAACATTCAATGGCTTACGCGAACGAATGCAAGCAGCCCGACCCCTCGTGTGGTAGGGGGGCAGGGAGGGAAGGACAGGGATAGGGATATCCTTGAGAACATTGGGCCCTCCGACAACATTTTATTTGAGACAGTTTGCTGGGCAAAAACGTTGAGAATTTAAGTAGATTTTATGGATCGTATTAGTGCTGGGAATGGCGCGGGAATGGCGGCTGACGAAAGTCCAAAATGGAGCGATCAATGACACCCGGATAGCCACCCACGCACCGGGGTCGTCCCGCGTTGGACGATGCCTTCGGCAAATCGGAGTCGCTTTCCGTGGCATTCCAGGCGCCGTGCGACTTGGTCCTGAAGTTGCGCGGACGTGTCCTCCAGCTCTGGCCATAAGTGTCCTCAAAATTGTTGTCCGCGAAGCTGCGAATCTTCGGGGAGCTGCACCTGTTTGCCGGCTTGTTGTTCGGCGTTGAGGTGCACCCGGTCCACATCGAGTGATCGAAGACGCCCGAAGGCAGCTCCGATGTCTCCTCCCCCCTCCTCATGTGGTGGGACATCTGATCGATTTCGTCGCGTATCTCCTGTATGACCCTTTCGAGGGCATCCAGCACCCGCCCATTCGCCTCCTCCTCGATGGCATCGTGCAGTCGTTGCTTTTGCTCCGAGGTCAGCCGGAAATTCGGCGACCGCTTGTCATACACCTGCGGATCGTCCGCCTGCGTGGAGATCCCGATCATGTCGAAGCTCTCGAACATCAGATTCAAGCAGCGGGTATCCAGCGGTGCCCCCTCGCTCCTCGCGGACGAGGCCCGTAAGGGTCCCTCTCTGGCGGTCACTCGGGCCGTCAGAGTGGTCCCGGGCTTGGGCGCCGTCTCAAGTTCACTCTCATCTGGCGCGCTTTCTGTTGCCGTTGCCGTTGCCGTGGCCGTTGCCGTGGCCGTTGCCGCCACCTGGTGCGGCACGGGTGGCGTGCTGCTGCTGTTGCTGGTGAGTCTGTCCAGCCACTTCATGTCCTTCATACGCACCCAATGGGGCAGCAGGGTTCGTGCCAATGGAGGCTGCTCCCCGGTGCCCGACGACGATTTGCACTGCTGCCGCCGCTTCGATGCGTGTCGTGGCTCCTCCAGGGGCGGAAAGTGTTCGCGATTGTCGTACGGTGGATCCCCCAGACACCCGGCACTGCTGCTAGTGCTGGCCGGAACATAGTTCCACCAGACCTCGCCAGACCTCGCCTGAAACCGATCGCCCATCTCTCCGGACGGCGACGAATGTGGCTTTCTGTGGTTTCGGGGAGAAGTCTCGTTACTCCTTTGCCTTGCTCCTCAGTCCGTTACTCACTTGGCTGTGTGTCCCTTGCCCTTTGGCGCTGTGGCTTTTCTGGTGGCGACGTTCATTCCAATACCTGTTTGACGATTTTGTGTCTATCGAAATATTCTATTTGGGTGGCACTCGTTGACGGATTCACGCAAGGCACCCAGCCTTCTGGGATTGCCCTGAAGTTTTGAGCCCCCTGTGGAACGACTTCGACTCGTCGCTGAATTTTGTTATTGCCGGTAAATCAGCAGTTTGCCTTTGCATTTGCCATTCGCACGTTAACGTTGAATGATGGCATAACCTCTCTCCCTCAGTCGTTTCCCCCTTTCCAAGCAGATTCTGTGGTTAATTTATTTCGATTTGCAGATCAATTATGCAATAGTTTCACAAAGTAAGAACTGAGGGTCAGATTATTTAATATATATGATTAATTTATACCCAATATTAGACCACTTTTCGTTGACAAATGTTTACAAAATAATGAGAAAAAAACACATCGTTTGCAATTGTTTTTGCTTGGCAAATCAGAATGGAAATACCTCTTAAAATATGCATATAATGTAGTTGCATTGCTCTGGACTGTACAAGGGCTGCCCTTTGATATTCTTGGCCTTGACTGGTCAAAGCTTTGCGCGTTGTGTATCGCTTATCGTCTATCGATAAACGAAAAAATGCCTCAAAAGATTTTCCTACGATTTTCGGGTTCGATTTTCAAGGCCATTATGAACGAATCTTGTGCGGTTAATTATATATTTTATTGAACATACTGGTACGTAGATATATTATACATATATGAACCGATCCATTCTGAAAGGAAAACCCCTCAGCCCTTACGTCTGACTCTTTTTCGATTCGTTGATTTCCCAATCGTTCCAACTGATCCGATCTTCATCGCATATATCATACATTTACGCAATATTTCCGTCCAGACCCCACCCCCCACACGCCCCCAACAATGGTGAGTGCCGTCGAGATTCGCAGATTTCCATATGCCATATGTTGGGTCTCTCTCGCCCTCTCTTCATATTTGTGCTTCTGTTGTTTCTTCTTCGGCTTTTCCTATTGTTGGTTGTTGCATTGTTCGGTGTGTGGCATGGTGGCATGGTGGCGTGGCATGTGGATGTGGATGTGGAAGCTGCAAAATTGCAATTCGCAATTGTAACCGGATATGGTCGCACAAAATTCCGAAATCTCATTCCCATCCGAAAGCCAAAACTATGATTTCCATACAAAATCCCCCCCCCCCATCCATCTCCCTTCTCCCCCCACCGCTTTTCCCTTTTCCCTGGTACTTACAGTTTTACAGTTGCGGTTCTTCCTACTTTTCTTTCCGCACTTTGCGCTCTCTCTGGGGGCTTCCCCCTTTTCCTCGTTCCTCAGTGAAAGTGGAAGGTTGGTTCCTTCTAGTGGCCTTTGGTTGAAGCTGAAAGAAAATAAATAAAACCTTTTAATAATGAATACTTTTACACAAATTGGAATGCCATAAAATACATTATTCGCCACGCCTTTAAAAGGGGCTTCTTTTGGGCACATCTCCTATAGAAATAGTAGTAATTGGGCAAACCTTTCATTCCAGATTTATTGAGAATTTTAAGCGGTTGGAAAGTGTTCTTGATCTCTCTTGTGGCACCTATAAAATCTTGCTTCGACCTTCTCGAAGGTCAGCCTAAGGTCATCTTGGAGCCTTACAAGCCTTACAGTACTGCACAGTAGATTTTGCCAAATAGTTTGTTTCTTGGGAATTTGCTTTGAACAGACCTTTGAAGAGATGGTTTAGGGAAAAGCACGAGGCTCTGCCTTGTCTTGGTGACCCCGACGCGAGCTCTTGAATCCGTCACCGTCCTGAATCGACTTCAATCTGACCTCGTCTTATATCGAGCTAATCATCGAACAGACTCTTGTCGCAAATCCAAACCGAACCAATTGTTAACTTTATTACATTGATCGCTGCTGATGAAGCTCATTTGAGTCTCCACAAATTTTGGATTTAGTTCGTTTGGAAAGTATGCGCTTTTAGTGTATTTTTTGGATGGATATAGAGCTGACAAAAAGCATAGTTCTAGGGCATTAGATGGTCTGTAGATTGTGCCAGCTGGCAGTTTGTTTGGTTCTTCGGTGTTCAAGCCCTTAGATCTTTCGAACTTGAAACCGAAAATGTTATTTGGATGGAACATGGCACGCTGCTTGGTCTTGAATGCCTCGCTTCACTGCGGATGCAGGTTCGGTTCAGAGCGCTTGAAAGATTCAGATTCCGATTCGGATTCCCCCGACAAAAGATTCAGTTACAGCATTAGCTGCTGCTGCTGTTTGGGTTTTCGGTTAAAACAAGTTCGGTTTCTGGGTAGTTATAAAATAATTGCGATTATAATTATATTTGACTGGGCTGAGTCGAGCGACGATTACGATTATACGCCGTACAATACTCGTGTGATCTGTGATCTGTCGCCGGTTGGGTTTCTGATGCAACCTCCCCAGACGGGGGCAATTAATTGTAATTTGGTTCAACGAGAGACAGAGTGAGATACGAGATACTACTATAAGAACGTGCTCAAGTGTAACGTGTGTCCCTGTGTGGGGGGCATGGGTGTGGTGCGGCCACCACAGAACTTCTCTTTATAGACAACACCATGTACATACATATACAAATCATAAGATATTGAAGGCCGCACCCAATGGTCGTGTCCAATTCGTTCGTGTTTTGGCTTTTGACTGAGAAAGTGACAAACTTACGAGTAAATTCTGTTAGCGTGTTTTTTGCCCCGGCGCTTCTTGTTCTTGTTCTCGTTTTTCCATTTCCATGGAACGTGCCCCGCGTGGCAGAGTGGCCAGAGGGCCCGGAATGGGTGCCGGTGGGCCTACTATTGGGGTCAGCCGTGGGAGCTCTCCGGCGATTAGCTCTGGCCCCGATTCCACTGCCCCGATGTTCGATAAGCCCCCGAAAGCAAACGTCATCGGCTGGGAGTCGGGGAATCTGATTATTCTGGCCCCAACAACAGCACAAAGCCTGCAAATGCAATTGCCGCATTGAAGACACCTTTCGACAAAATTAAGAGCCCACAAAGGAATTACCATTTGAATATTTAAAAAAATAGTCACATACGTTGTTTTTTCTTCTATTTTTGGGACGGAGTCGTATTCGATTTTATGTTTTATTTTATATTTTATATTTATTAAATTTTTTTTCCTTTTATTTAGTTAATATACAAAAATGAAATTATTTTTTTAGTTTTTATTTATTTATTATTTTATATTTATTTAAATGATTTATTTGTTTTTTATTTTTATTTGTTAATTTATTTTGATTCAGATTTTGTTTTATTTATTATTTTATATTTATTAAAATGATTTATTTGCTTTTTATTTTTATTTGTTAATTTATTTTGATTCAGATTTTTTTATATTTATTAAAAATTTTTTTTTTACGCTATGTATTAATTTTTTTATTTTTATTTATTAGTTTATATTGATTAAAATTATTTTTTTTGTATTTACTATTTTTTAATCATTAAAATAATTTTTTTTAAATTGATTATTTTATATCAATTCAAATTACTAATATTTTTATATTTATTAAAATTAATATTTTTATTTATTTGTTAATTTCTTTATTTATTTTTTTTTAAATTTATTTTTCTACCCTCTTTTCATTCTGAGTTTCGATAAATTGTGTTCCTTATTCCACCCCGTGCCCTGCTTTCAATACACGAACATTCCATTCTTGGCTTACAGCGCTGAAACGCACTGTTTCGGCCACAAATCCAAACACGTGAGTGATTTGCCAAATCAGTGTTCGAGCTGACAAATGAAGCCAAATGAGCGGCCGATCTCCCCGCCTCAGCGGAGCCACAGTAAAAGCTTCCTCAACATTTTCCCCGACATCTTCCCATGGCATCCCATCCCATCCCGTATCCCCCCCACCCCCTCCATCGCTCGTTTTGGTTTGTCATCTTTTTAGCCTCCAACCAGGGAGCCAGAGGGAGAGGGAGAGGGAGAGACTCAACCATCGAGAGACATCGCTGCAGGCGTTCGTTCAACTTGTTTGCCGCATTTGCAAGATACTTGCTGTCTGGCACGCCACATCCGAATCCGAATCCGAATCCCAATCCGAATCCGAATTCAAATCATCATAATGATATGGCCAATACGGAAAAGCGGTGGCTGAGGAGGGGCCCTCGGGGTGCCCCAAGCTAAGCTTAAACTGTGTGCAAATGATCTGCCGAAACAAAGCAACGAAAAAACCTACGAATATTTGGTAAACTTTTAATAACCATAATTAAGTGCTTAGAGCATGACAGGAAATTGCATAATTTATTAGCCATCCCCCCCTACCGCCCTACCTAATTATGCAAATACTTGTGTCCGACTTCCCAATCCCCCGTCCCGGGCACTACAATACAACAAAGTATTTGCCCATATATCACGTTCTCCACAGAGAACAAAAGACAAAAGACAAAAGACACTGACGTCAGTGGGGCACCCAAACCGTGTGGTGCCGTAGATTCCCTAGATTCCATTCGACACAGGAGCGCAGTTTCAGAGGGGGCAATCAGGGCAGAAGGAAGTAGTTCCAGAGGGCAAGTCGGAAGTGGAAACATTTCCATAGAAGGCATGGCGAATGGCCTCTGCTTCTGGTTATTCGAAACGAATGTGTCCATTCACTTATGGGAAATTTGTGCAGCCAAAGTCGAAGAATTTCACATGAAAGAAAGTCTCTCCAAGTATATTCATACTGTAATCAGACCGCTCTATAGCTGGGCAATCTATGTATCTAGAATGTGTGGCCACTCACAGGAAAGATATAGGAAACCTACATTTGTTGTTGTAGGATTTGTTGATCTTTGTAGGACCACGACATGCCCTAATGCCCTAGAGCCCTAGAGCCCTAGAGCCCTAGAGCCCCCTCGCTAATCTCAAATGTATCTTTGCTCAGCGGCTCTCAAGTGTGGCTTCGATCAAAGGGCTAGAGTCGAAGGAAAGATGAGTCAAGCCACAATACTCGTGTAAGCAAATGGCAATCCACCAGATATATGGGAACAATGTGCTTTTGGGGATATTTAACATTTCCCAGAACGTGCCTTTGTTGTCCAGATACATCCCAAAGATACATAAATACATACATTCGAATGATTATGGAAAAGCCTTTCCATTTGCCACCGTTTGGCGGTTGGCAGACAATGGCTCCGCAGCCATGCCCCCCCCCCGGTGTCTAGAGGGGGCCGGGGGGCCCCGTACACTTTTACTTTCTTCGGTTTTTTTTTTTCTTGGCTAATTGCACTACTTAGACAGCCAGTAGCAGGCGGCGTCACTTTCCCAAACACACAATAACGCAAAAATTAATAACAATATAATAATCGCACTTCTTTTTTGAATAGCACAGCACACTAGTGAGTGTATTCACTCGTTTTGTGAGTGTACAAAAAAAAAAACACGTTAACAAATTCGATTGGCCACTGGGGGGGGGGGAGGTGACATAATGGGAGGGAGGCCAGGCCCACTGCAGTGTCCGGCATCGGCATCGGCATCGGCTTCCCTCTCTCCGGTCTCTGGCTGTGGCTCCTTGTAATTAATTATTGTACAATTAATTGTGTGATTAATCAATTTGCCATCTCATGTGGTGTGGAATCATAATGCGTTACATGATCATAAACATAGATAATTGGGGGAAGAAGCATCAAGCAGCAGCAGCACCAGCACCGGCAACCCCTTCATTAGATAAAAGATACATAATCATAATCGTATCTCAGTTCCTGTTTGCATTTCCTATGCGGATATCAAGAGGGGGGACTAACGATGGCAATGTCTGCAGCACTTCCTTTAGCCAGATTCTCTAATATCGATTGATTTTCTTCATGGAAGCTCAAGATTCGAGTTCATTTTGTATTCGAATTCAAAGAATACTAAATCATGCATCGAATACATCGAATGAAAGGCTTTCACTTTACTCCTGTACTTGGGTGTCCGTTATTCTTGCCATTGAAATGTCCCTAGAAATGTTCCTAGAAGCACCAAGGAACCCGCTGTTTGTACAGCCCGACAGTTTTCTAATCGAAAGAGTTCTTAAGATTTCTGCTTTCCCCTCCTCCGCCACTTTGTGTGGCATCTACAGTCTGCAACGAGTACGAAAGGTCAGCTCTCGTTTCGTTTTTGCCTTTTGAGAGGCCCGTCCGTCGTCTGCAGCATGGCTATTTTTATATCCCAGCCAAGGATATGGTTTCATTTCAAGGTCCAAAGAAAAGCACAAGAGTGGGGGGCCAGTCGGGCTGGAGAAAACGTGGAAAACGCCTGAGCAAAAACCCACTGAAGCGACACTTTTCGCACGCGTTCCGCTTTTCCGAAATAACGAAACGCACTTTTACATAAGACTCCAACAAAAACCAGACCACAAAAGACGAGTGCGAGTGCGAGTACGAGGGTATATAATTT